TAAAACCTACTTATGGGAAAATCCAGTGGGATAATACCCATTAGTAGGAAAAAGAGTACTCATTAAGCATGCCAAACCAATATCAATAGTTATCTTCATATGTTGACAATTTCACTCCTAATTACAGCTTGAATTGACACAGGTACACTGGATATTTCCCTCCAGACAATTTGAGTCATACCTAGTTCTTGAACTGTCTTTGCAATCTCATGAGCCACCAAATTAGATGTCCTCCTGCAGTGCTTGATAATTACTTAAAAAAAGTTTTATTCAATCGAAAATCTTTTGTCCAAAGCAATATGTCGGATTATCCACAGATGATATAACCTGCACCCATTTTTTAATATTTTCCTATTAATTTTTTATGAAATTTCTCAGCAAAAACGAATTGATTGGAAACATGATAGAATACGACTCGCAATCATGTGTATGGTTTTGGGATTAGAATGCCTGGTGTGTATGGTAATCATTGTATACTTTGAATATAAATTAATATATTTTTGTATTTTTTTAATATTTTTAATTGTATAATAATATCTATTTTCTATTATTTTAAATTTCATAATAATATGGTCCAAATATCTGATAATTGTATAATACATTAGTTTGCATACATACATATTTCGTAGAATTATCAAAATATCCTTTTATCACCTATAAAATACCGACTGAAAAATCACAAAATTTTTCGATTGATTTTCTAACATACATTTGATGGAATTGTCCATGGATTACCAACGGAATATCCCAAATCATTGACGAAATACTCCAACAGTACGGTGACAAAGTAAGTCAATAACTGGACCACCATTTAACCTTTTTAATGATGAAAAATTATAAAAAATTTCCAACAAATTTGAGTGTCATTACTTTTTCGTACGGAATAGTTTACCTATTAATGTATTTTCGACTAAATTTAACCATCAACAATTCTATCAATAGTTAATTTTTGACAGAAATTAAGTTTTTTTTGATAAAAATTTTCATAAAAAATAGTAATATATTTTGTAGTGAGTCAGACTACTTTTGGAGGTATGGAGGCACAAGTGATGCCTCGGTGGAGCAATTAGTGAGTAGGGACAACTTATCTCAAAGCTATGGCCTAATAAGGACAAAAAAGAAAAAAAGAAGCAATGGATAAAGGGATAAGGCTAAGCAAATTAGAAAAAGTGCATCAATAATGCAAAGCATAGCAATCATGGATGAATAAATTAGAAACAAAAGTCAAGCATTAAGGATAAAAGGCAAAGTCACATGTTAATTTAAAAATAAATGTTGAAAAGTGAAAAGGGGTAAAACAGCATAATAATCAGACATTTTATTGAGAAAGAGAAGACAAGAACATGCAGGACATACAGCTGGAATATTGCTGGGATCCAAGAAAACGACATTAGAAAAAGAAACTTGGCCTTTATGCGGAACAGATAATGGTGGTGCCCCTTGAGGTAAAGCGAAACGGAAAGTTGCAACAAGAATTACTATTACAGGTCAAATTCGTCTGTCTGCAATAAAGAAAGTATGGGAAATATTATGTTAGTGTATCCAAAAGAAAATAATTTCTAATAAGTGTTGTAAGATTTTTTAATAGAGCTCTAGGAAATGTAATATCAACCCCTAATATTGGTGAACAGTGATAGGCTTTATTATATGATAAAGATGAAATTACCCTTCTCAATATATTGAAAATCTACTCAATATATTTCAAGCCGCAAAAGGAAAAAAACAAGCAAATTGATCTTTCCTCTCTCGACCGAACTTGAAAATGGCTAATTTAACGGAAATCGACGAAGAAATAGTAAAGCCTCGAGCAGACAAGAGACAGTACAGGAGGGTCGTCCTCGGAAACTCCCTCCAAGTTCTCCTCATAAGCGATCCTGACACCGACAAGGCAAGGGCAATTCCAAAAATTAATTTCTATCTTTTCCTCTGTTTTTTTTTGGTTCCAATTTAATTTAATCAATGTATCCAAAAATTTCTGGCTTTGATGTTGCAGTCTGCTGCATGTATGTCTGTCAGCATTGGCTACTTCTCTGATCCCGATGGCTGCGAGGGCCTTGCTCATCTTCTCAGTACGTACATATATTTTTCTTCTGATAGAAATTCAAATAAACTTAAGGAGAAGTAGTCATTTCTATCCCATAATCTTTACCTGCTAGACGCTCAAGGGCCGACTGGGTTTGGTAAATATCTAATGCGTTTTCTGACTGGAAATTTAATGTCTTATTAAGAGTTTGGCTATAATTTCAGGGTCCAACTTTATTTGATCTTGAGCATTTCTTTGGGTACAAGAGGGACTAGTATGATTTCATTTGAGCTACTCAACAATTCTTTTTCTTATTCCATATGTTTCTTTTCTTTTTTTTTTTTTAATTGTTTGCAGTGCGCGTGCTGTTGCTGGCTCATGCTAGTGAAAAATATCCGGGGGAGGATAGTTCCAGTCAGTACATAACCGAGGTACTGTTCATTTCAAGTGTACCCTTCCATATAGCATTATATATGAGTTTAGTTACTCAAATTATAATGTTTTTGAGTTCCTAACCGTCGTAGATCCTTTATGCACGCGAATCTTTTTTTGTTGATTATCTTAAAAAACCAAAATAAACAATCACTGTTTGGTTTTTTTTGCTGTTTAAATATTTATCATGCAATAAAAATAACAAATAAAATGTAAAATTATAGTTGAATAAGGATGAAAAATAAATAAATAAATAAATAAAGCATAATATCAGTTCAAATTTAATTAGTTTATATAATTAAAAGTAACATCATATATTTTTCCTTATATTTTCCCAAAAATATTACATTTTTTCCTTAATTATATATACTTGGTTTACTTTGCTGATATTTAGCATGGAGGCTACACAAATTGCGCTGTGAATGCCGACGAGACCGAGTATTATTTTAACATTAACAATGACTTTTTTGAAGAAGCTTTGGATCGGTAAGTGTTGTTTCTCTGCTTTCTTTGGTGTTATTTCCATCAAATTAATGTTCATGTAAAGTTTGTGAATTTCGTTGTTGTCCTGTAATTTCCCCTTTTTTTCTTATGGTTGGTACGATACCATTCAGCTTTTTCCAGCCCTTTGTCAAACCATTAATGTCAGCTGAAGCAGCCATGAGGGAAATTAAAACTGTTGAGTCTGGTGAGCCTTTTATTTATCTTTATTTTTTAATTTGTATAATATCATATTTAGCTTTTATATTTTAAGAAAATGTCTAATATAATATTAGTACTAAAAAATTATTGAGTGTGATATTTTTATTTCATATATCGACGCATCCCAATGCTTAATTCCGTTTAAAAAATTTGATGACATATCAATTATATGTTAATCAAAATCTGAACATGATCAAATACTCTCAACACGAGAACAGTCATTGTGACTCTATTCCCAAACTACACTATGGCTCTTTATGACCAAACCTACTCTCAGTATTAAAAGTTCAGATCCAAATAGTAAGTGCTCAACAAGTTTACTTAGCCATAATTGTCACACTCCATTACTAGATGGTTTATACAGTTTAAGACCATGCATTCGATCTTTCCAGACTCCAAACCAACTCTGATGATGCTTTGGTCCTCTCCATAAATAACACTCAGGTCCCTACCTATTCTTTTGTCCCCAAAGAATTCCAACGCAGGACCTCACCAAACTTTTGCCAAAAAAGTGGGTGACTAACTATGAGAAGCTACATGAAACTGCAGACTCCACCCAATTCACAGAAACTCATTTCACTAGAAAGTCAAATGGGATAGTAGAAATCAAATTTGGCCACTCTCAATTAAAGGAGCCTTTTGCACCAACAGGGGCCGAGCTAGAGTAACTTTAAAGAAGGGTTAAATAGAGAGACACTAAACAGTTAAAAGAGTAATTTATATATAATTTAATTATCACTCATATAAAAGATTAAATAAAATTCAAAAGACATTAAGCATATAAAAAATTCACATTAATAGTAATAATAGTGTCATTTATACATATGACTGAATGAAACTATAAAAAGAGTCTCTCTCATTCTTTGCGAGTAAGAGTAGAAGAGAAAACAGTTTTTCAAACTAAAATAAATTGTCTTTTTACTTTGTGTGCTCTATCTCTCTTCTTACTTTCTATTTGCTTCTTAAATTGCTAATTGACATATCAAGTTATTAGGTTAAACTATTGAGATATGATATATTATGATAAACTATTAGATTGGAGTGTTAAGATATAATATGCTATGATAGGCTTAGATTTATATTAAAACTTAATAGGTTTGAATTAGTAGACTTACTTTTATTTTTTAAAAAAATTTGATAGGCTTAACATATTAGTTTAAAATTTATTTGTTAAGCTTAACTAGTAATATGCTAACCATAATGACTTTAATTTTATCAAATAGTTTAGGGAATAAAACTAATTATTAAATAAAAAATTATTTTGAGAGCCATTAAAAAATATATATAATAAATAA